ATAATCGACTATTTATAGTGATATTTAAAGCCGGGAATGTGGCAACGTGACCATGTCCTGCGGTATACGCCGTCGTTGGTGTAGGACAGGCGTGATCAAGACGTTTGCACACTTTACAACCGATCCCCACCGTCACCCCGCGTTGACACCAACTGCTTCCCCGGACACCCAATGGGGCATCTCAGTAAGATATTTGAAAATCCAAGACGAGTTATACTTTTTTCCAATCTCCCGCTGTCCGATTATATAAACCACTCGTATACCCGTCATTCTGGGAGGTCTGCGTTGATTTGTTTCTTCAACAAATTCATTGAAAAACATCGCGGAATCCGTGACCGATGGAAATTTCAATTCAATCAATAATAATATTACACCTCGAAAATATCCACTCGAAAAATGTCCCAAGTCGTGATATTACGATATCATTATGTACATTTCGAGTTGTGTTATTTTTATAAGTAACCGCGGAGTCATTGATTGCTCTCGCGCCACCCACCGTCATTTTTTTCGATTTTTTCTGAACCACCATCATCGTGCGTTTATCCACAAGTATTCTTACGTGGAATTCTCGATGGAACGATTACCCTCTATTAAATTATGAATACGAGATGTATACTGAAACGACTAAACTTTCTATTCAGTTAGTAAATGCATCCAACTATTACAGTATGCTGCGGCTAAAGTACCCGCAGTAGTTTTCCTCATATGCATGCATGGCGCGTGCTCCTGCCTCCTTCTTAACGACCCATTAAGAACAAAAGCTTTATATCACGGGATAACAAAAAGTGGGGACAGGACAAATTTAACGAGAACATGCAGAGCGCCGAGATGTTGACGCAAGAGAGTTGCATCAACTGGTGTTGTGTGATTATTATTTTTTTTTTTAACATCTGAGGATTATCATCGAGACAAGAGATAGGTATTTGACACTGCGGTGAAAGCACGAGAAACGAGCGAATTATGTGGCCACCGTACATTATTCATGTCGCTGTGTGGAGTTTCACCGCAAGGATTAGAAGGCCGTACACAACATACTGAAGCAATGGGGTGTGTGGGATAAAGAGGGGAAGCATTAACTAAACATTCGAGAAATGTATTTCAATGGCAGAAACTCCATCACAAATAATAGAAAAACATGAGGGGATTTCAATGTGAAACAAACCGTTTCGAATTGTTCTCCTCTTTCTCATTCAAACGGTTTCTTTTTTTCTCTCTCACTCGTAATTTTTTTCCTTTTGCGACCCAGACTCACCGACAGATGAAAAATTATCGTAGTAGACGTGCATAATCCCCGGAAATTTTTTTTTGTGGTTACGGGGTCATTGGCACTTGCCACGAGAATAGTTAGTAGGCAAGACATCTCTTTTCACGGATTAACCATAGAAAAGAGGAAGTCAGGTGCATCTTGAAAGTTCCGAGGCACGTACGACCATTCGGAAAGCATTGGTATTGAAAAAATTTTCGTACGCGGAACAAGAGGACTTGTCGAAGAATATTTTCATCGTAAAAAAAAAACCAGGAGAAATCGTTCTGTCCAGTGTATGGGGCATACGTGCCCAGTGTCGGTGTTCATAAATTTTTAACTATATCGGTGGATCAAATACAAGATTAATAAAAGCCAAAGTATCGAATAAGTATAGTTACTTTAATGGCCTCGTCTTCTGCCGATCGTTTTCTTTTCTTTAAGTACTTCTACAAAGTCTTAACCAAGTGGCTGTACGCCAGTGGAGGAAGAAGGAACCTTCTGAACTAATGGCTAATCGACTTGCATGTTATAACTGTTGAACAGAGCCGAGAGTAGCTGTTATCGAACACGAAAGGGCACTGGTGGTATCGTCGTCTACAATTTCGCTTTGATGAAGAGCCGGTAATTCTCTTTTACGAGTATTAAACCGAAAATTAAAATTAAATATGTTGAATCAAATGAATTGTAATTAATAAGTATAAAAGAGGGGTGGAAGTGATGATAGATGGAAATTCCCGATGGAATCCTCGTGGCAAAAATATTCTCCCCCTTGTGCCCTTTTTGATCCATCCCGCCCCAGCATATGTCTGACAAGGTGAAAGCACCTTCTGTGCAATTTATTACACGATATACGACCCAACTTGAACTCCTACCAGGACTTTAAATCTCACAATTTCTTTGGTCATTTTTATTTTTCAATCCGTGCCTTACCCCTCCCCCTTTCACTCTTTTTTCTCAAACCTTTCTCGCCTTCCGTTTCAAATGACGCATCTGCGGCAATAATTGTACTATGAATTTACAGTTGACTTGAATTTGCCACGGTGAGCAAGACAATAGACCGCACTAGACATCCAATTTCAAAGCATTTAATAAAACATCAGGGATCTCACGCGTTTATTACAACCGTGTGGATTGAAAGCCGTGAAAAGTAGCATTGCATTCCTCTGTCGCTGAATTTAGCTGTAAATCGCATTAAATGGCATCTAAACTCATCGATTGGCGTTGACGGTATTGTGATATTACACTGACAATCATTGAACTCTACCTTAATAACTTCACACACAGATTGTCACATCAATTTCAAAGAGGAGAACATTCCAGTATAAGGGGAAGATGTTTTTTATCGAACAAGCGCACGTGGCATGCGGATTATCATTATATATATTTGAAAGGAGCCTCATCATGGTGTATTGGAATTTCAATGGCGACGGACAGGTCTGCGAATATCTTTGGACAAAGAAAAGGAGAGGAAACGAGGAGAAAAGAGGAGAAAAAAAGGAGGAAAAAATCTGTCTTGTTCGCGCTGTAGAAGTTAATCCGTTGGTGTTTTGATAGGCTTCGTTACTGGTCTCAAGCGACCGTGAAACGTTACATGGCGTTGAAGGTGTGGCAAGGATCTATCAAAGTCTCCTTTCCTCTCAATTCTTTAACCCCATCGGAGACACGTTAAAAAAATTTGCATTAACGTACATGCACAAACAAATGTAAATTTTTCACTCCCCATTGAATAACGAGGATTACGAGCTAATGGTGCATTTGCAATGGATATCGAGGCCATTTAGCTCAGCCCCCTCAACCACTTACTGGTGAACAATGTGACCTAGAAAATGCGTGAGAGAAAAATAAGATAATGAAAGTGCATGCCGCGGGCTGACGATGAAGGTCACTGTTGCTCATATTGTTACTCAAGTATCGGTGTATTATGCAATTATCAAGCGCATTTGCTATCAACGGAAAAGAGGTGTGTGATCGATATCGGCGCGGGAACGCTGTGAAGAACAACGGGTTAATAAGCTGAGGTCAAGTGCCCAAGGCGATAATGCCAAGGAGGGAGTGAATTTTGCACGTTAAATTTTCTTCTGCGTGTGCCCTTCAACCATCTTCCCAAGAGTCGTTAAAAGCCTCCCTCAGGTGTGTGTATATCCATCCAACCTCGATAATTCCACCCGTTATCGCCTTGAATGCCTGTAATAAATGTCGCTATACTCTCGAGTCCGTCATGAAATTCCGCATCGGTTGGTTTATACGCTTCATGGGAGGCCGCACAAAGTTATTAATTAACATCTAAATAATGCATTGTTTGATCAAACCCATAGACCACGGACTAGGACAATATTTCACCTTCTGGGAATTCGTTGTAGACTCGTTAGTTATGTACTCGTTGGACATTGAAAAACATTTTTCAATATTAAAGTCCGTTAATTAACAAGCGTTGACATAACTATTGATGATTCTCAACATCATGCAAAATGGGATACCATAATTTCGGTGAGAGAAAATTAAATGTCGAGGGAATTTGAGAAAAATGGCATCCTGTATCGGCTTGTCTCTGTAACTCTTTTAAAATTAATAGCGGTTCCTCTAATGAATTTCAAGTGATTTCACGTTGTCGATCATTTCTCCGAGAATTCGTGTTACGACTTTCATTGATATATTTTGCATGCGCTTTCAATTGCCAGCAGGCGACAGTAAAAATCCGATTGTTCCTACCGAATAAACTGATATTTCCTAGATTGTGATATTCTTTTTTTTTTCTCTCTACTTGGCGCAAAAGTAATCTCATGGTCCATAAACTTCGCGGTAGCAGAGGTTTTCCCAGTCAAGTACTCTCTGGTGAATTTACGATGTCTGAAAGGCGGGTGCTCGGAGACTCTTTCGTTTTGCTATAGAAACCAAATGACTTTCGGAGTATGTCGTTGACGTTTTTTTTTCCTCAAAATTGCGAGGCACTGTGATATAGTTTAAATCAATTTTGGATAAATTTAATGCAAAGGAAACTGCGAATGAGCGAAAATCGGGGGAGTGAGGGCAGGTGAATTTTTGTCCAACAGAAATTTCAGATTCGTCAGTTTATTTAGTGATACACCCCGCGATTAAACCACATAGTAAAATTCATGGGCCGAGTATTAAAACCTCAAAGCGCTCACTCACCTGTCCACAGACCATATACTTGTTTTAGTGACTCCATCGGTTAAAACCGAGAAAATAAAAAAAAAAGCTCCCGTTAATCTTTTATTCTCAATAGAACAGTTTAATTCTTTATTACCCGGCTCCCCCATTTTACACTGATTATTTTTCATCGGGATCTCAAAATTCTGAGAAGTCTTGAATTCCAAGAATCCAAGAATATAAGAATAAAAGAGGAGGGGGAAGAAGGAATAAACCGACAACGACGATGAGGCTGTAACGTTGCCGCAACAAAAATTACCAGCGAGACGCTGGATAAACCGCAAGAAAAAGAAACTTTCGTCGCTCCGTAAACAAACTTACAGCAACCAGAAGCGTGCATACAATTTTCCACGAAGCTGTATGGTTTCTGCTTATAAAAATCCAATGTACACCATATGTACAAGCACATTGATACAAACAGCTGAATGTATGTATGAGATAAAAAAAAAAAAATCTCATTGAAATGGCTTTAACGTACGTCCGCACATGGAAACCGAATGTCAATGGACTAAATCAAGTGATTTATGCGAATAAAATTCATATAATCGGAAAATGATGCGATGATGATTAGAAATTGAAGTATCACCTGGTGATCAATTGACTATCGATTTGCGATGACCCAGCCCTCACTGGGATTTGCACGAAACATTCTTGTGGTTGGGTTTAGCCGGGGCCCACCGATGGCGAAACATTATTTAACGTCAAACTAGCTCGAACATATACTTTCTCGACCAAACACAAGCCTCACCTCTTATATCGTGTCACTCTAAACGAGAGGTGGGTAAAAGGTGGGGACCTATCGGGCCCTCAACCGCAACCGCTTCTACGAGAATGACGTTACTTTTACGATTATTTATAACCCCGGAGGCACACTACTTGAAAGTGTCTTCGTGCTTGGCTCTTCTCTTGGTTCGAAGCGATAAGAGACAGAGTATAAAAACCAGAACGGATCTCTTTTCCTCCTTCATCTCTGGTACCCTTTATCTCTGACGATTCTTTTGTTCCGACCATTTCTTCACCTACGTCTCATCCGAGATATCTAACTCTTTTTTTTTTACCTCTTAAATTCCATTTTTCCACACCAAAGTGGATGGGTCAGCGTGTAATGGACTCTATATTAACGCTATAATCTCTTTATTATCTGATGTGGTGATTCATCCCACCAGACACGGGTTTCACGCGTCATTTCAACGCCCCGGATTAAAATATTCAAATGATGTCAGTGAGCGCATGTGTCAACATATCCATTCTCATGTTATTCATTCCATTGACAACTTCTGAGTGTCAACGCGTAAAGAATCCAAATCAAGATCCTTTCGCCAATCGGATAAAAAGTCTTGAGTATTTTTCGCAATTTTTTTTACCCCCACTGCAGAATTGTATCAATGGAAAATCATATTGCGATTCGGCATGGATGAAGATTAATGTCTTCCATGGGGGACGAATGGTGGGCGAGGAAAATTCTTTCTCTTTTTACACTTCACGCAAACGATCATATGGATTAACGTCAGTCTCGTGACGTTTAGTCTGAGTTAATCGCTGAGGTGTCTGTACAACTCTGATCGCATCCAATTTTCAAGAACAAGACGTTATCCAAGTTGATGAATTTTTCCCGGTGACTGTTATTACGGAAAATTAACCGATTATTTTTATCCAATTTTCTTGGTAATGCAGTGGTTGACTTGATTCACGCAACATCCGAGTAGATTATGTTGTAAGGATGCATTCACACTTGAAAAGCGACAAGAAAGGTACGCGAGCCCTGAAACACTCATGGAGGAGTGAATTATATTTCCTTTGGAAAGTGTAACGCCGCGCGCGGCACTCCCCTTTTATTCTTCCAATGCACTTTATCCTATTCAACTTTGCGTTACGTCTACAATCCATTTTACGTCTTTACCCAACGATGTTGTTTTAAAATAACGGTGGAAAAAAAAAGAGAGAGGAATGGAAGAAATAAAAGCTGCAGACCGGATAAAATAAGAATAAAAATGAGAGCGAGTGAGGCGGGGATGAGGTATAAGAAACTGTCGGCGCGAACCTCATGCATTCCCCAACGCTTCTAATGTAGTTGAGAACTGGTGAAACCTAGTTAGTAACCGATTCTAGGACACAAAAACTTATCCTTTTTAAGGCGACGAAATGGTTATGCGATGGCAACAAAAGGTATGTCTTTCACCCGGGGGTAAAACGTCGGAATATCGAACGAACAAAATCGCTTTGTGGCGCGCGGCAGTTTGCTGTTCTGAGAAAACGAGATCTCAGCTCGATCTCGGCCGCATAGTTATATATATGAAGTTGTGTGTTAGCCATTGGAATTGTTAACTGTAGTGGTGTAGAAGAGACGAGAGCCGATCGCAAAGTTGTTCAATGCCTCACTCTTATTTTACCTGTCTTTCTCACGCTTGCACGCCTCCATTGGCCCCTTGTCACCCCAACCCACTGTCAAACACCGCTCGTTCATCTTCGTATCTTTCGGTGTTTATACCAGATCTAGGATCGCACCCCTTTTCCACCCAAATTCACCAATTCTCCCATTCATTTGCCGTGTTAATCCACTCCGACTCCTTCAAAATTTTTTATTCCACTTTTCACCGCCGAATGCCCGAGATTTTTTCTCAGTGGACACGTTTTTATTCTCGCTACGGGAATCGTTCTGGATATGCTCATATCTGTAAACACCGCCGGCTGTTTCGTCCTTGAGGCGCTCAATTGTCGACCCGAGTTGCTTCCGTAGACACCGTCGACTGTCTGGTTGTTCGGGAACTGAATTGTCGAAATGATTTGTGCGCATTATTATAGATGCAGTGTGAGATGCAAAATTTTGTGATTGGCGGAGAGCTCGGTGGTGGGGGTAAAATGTGTAGCCTCATCAGGCATGCCTAACGGCGCAACTTTGAATTAGAAATATAAGTTTAAGAAATTTAGAAATTGGGGTAGTAGAGGGAAACTCCGCGAGGGGATCTCTTCACGGTCCGTGCTAGTTGATATAACCCGGTGAATCTTGTGAAAAAAATCAGTTACGCGGATCGAACTGCAGCGGCTGGATCGAGGAGAGGAGAGCAGTGAGAGCGGAGCAGTAGAAATATGAGAAATAATAATTCTCAACGAAATCTCAAGGTCGCCGAGGGGAACCGATTCCAGCTCTTCAAAATCGCTCTCCATACGAAATATTGGCGGTCTCCCTCCACAGTCCGTGCGAGTTGATATTCCTCAGTGAATTTTTTCATGAAAATTCAGTATCGCCGATGGGACAACCGAGGCTGCATCGAGGAAAGGAGGGAGGAGAGCAGTTGAAACTTTGGAAATAATAATTCCAAAATAAGGAAATTTCAATTTCGCCGTGTCAAATCGGTTTCAATCTCTCACTGACATTCTCCTTAAGATATGCATAGGGTCTCTCTATGATCCGTGCAAAAGCAAAAGAGCAGTTTCAAAAATAATTCTAATAAAAAAAAAAATTCTAATTCCACCGTATAAAATCGATTTCGATCGATCAGTCGCATTCTCTCCATGGTATGCGGAGGGTCTCTCTAAAAATAACTCAATAATTAAAAAATCTAAATTTCGCTTTCGTAAAATCGATTTCGCCTCTTCATTTTCATTCTTTATATGATATGAAGGACTCTCTCGCGTGTGATGTGTGTGTGTGAGTGACATAATTTCCCTGTGTATTAATGTGTGATGTGCCTCAGTAAATCATGGATAAGGATTCATCCACGCAGATCGGATCTACAGCGGCTGTGCAGAGGAACCGAGGAGAGCAGAACTGTAAGCGATAATAATATGCAATAATTAAAAAATTCCACGTCACTTAGCCGTTTTTCAACTTGCAATCACGATCACGATCGCGTTCATCGCTGATTGTTTATTGCCAAAATAATAACGAATCTCGTTCGTAATGGAAAAAATATCTACATATCCAGGAGAGTACATCCTTTTTATCCGAGAATTATACATAAAATGTCATTGAGTTTGTCTTGGGTAACAGAAGGCACCGACCGCCCGCGGAACGTTACAAGTGCGTGGATAGTATGAACCTGAGGAGAAAAGACTGCACTAGTCACATGTGCGCTGAATCGCTGTTTGCTTGAATATAAGAGAGCGGCGCGTATGTGTACCTAGCGCGTGTCTTGTTTGCCCGGCTCGCTCGTTTTGTCGTTTAAACATCCTCGTCCGTTTTCTCCATATCTCCCTTGAATTTCTATTCATTATTTAACTCTCCACCGAGTCTCTTAATCATCGATAAAACGAGTCACCAAGAGGATGTGACTGGTACATAGCAAATATACTTCCAACTTTAAGTAATCCGAGACTTGATTCACCGAGTGAATCACGGATAATAGTCATACAACCTGTGGAATTCCGCGAGAATTATTTAATTACCACTATTCCACTTTCTTCCAGTAGCTCGCGCTCTCGAATTCAATTGATGAGTATATCAGAGGATATCTCACAGCCATTTAATTGTCTGTCTGTTGTCCCACAAACCGAGAGGATTGATATTAAATCCTAGATATTGTGAGGGTTCAGTCTACGAGAAAGACTGGTGTATAAAAGGGTTCAATGTTCCGCATGAAGATCCACTGCGCCATAAGTGTCTCACGTTTTGTTCTGTAACGTCAAAACAAGGGATATGTTAACGACCCATCTCCCAGGATTACCATTATAATACGTGCCATCGTGAGGATCCTTAATCTTTTCCATATGGAATCCCATAATCTGAGTAATTAGAACGGCTGAGTGAATGAAAAAAATTAGACCAGTAAAAACAATGGTGAATGAGGGAAAAAATAGATCAAATGAAAATGACTCTTTGCCATGTCCATCCCCGTCCATTAGAGGACTTATAATTGAATGAAAGGAAGTAGAGGAAAAAAGAGGAGAGAATGAATAAAATAATGGGTGAAAAAGGGGCTCGATGTTCCATGTCCAGTGTTAATTCGACGTTAACGTTAGACGGACACGCTTGATGGTGATAATTGCTCGGATCGATAGACAGAGAATCCCATGGAACGAGAAGCTGGAGCCTCGATACACGTATGCCTCCACAATCAATAAATCAGTGAAGAGACGCGATAGCACAGGAGGAAATTGGATGCACTTAGCGAGCCATCTAATTTATTATTGAGATTGTCATTCTGACACTGACAAAAAAAAAAGGGGGGGAAAATTAAACCGAGCGTTTCAGGACATATCGTTATCCCAACAGTTTTTCACTCTATTATTCACCGGAGGGATTGTGTGACGGACACATAAAACTACAGAAGTTGTAATGTATCCTCGGATCATGCTCAATGAAACAGAAGATTAAAATAGAAAATCAACTGGAATTGAGATGCTACCGCGATAACTGTCGAAACCCCTCGCATAACGTGCACGTTGAAAGATACAAATAGGGAACACACGTAACACGTTGGCCAATAATAAATCAATTGATAATTAAAGATGAACCGAGCGGTGCGAGCGGTGCGAGCGGTGTCAGTGGTGAAGTTGCCATCTCCATGAATAAAACTTTATAACCTTTTAACGCTATCCCCCAGGGTAGCCAAGGTGGAGAAATGTTGATGTATGGGTGATTTGATGGGGAGTTATCCATCGAATTCATCCATCAATGCCTCACCCATCGACGAAAATTTTAACGGGCATTGCATACCCCATGTCTGTTTAGATTAAAGGAGGCCGACGTGTGGAAAAATCACTGATATATCGTGAATGGTTTATGATATAGCCAGCTGATGGATAAAAATAACGATAAAATCAAGTGAAATAAAATGTGAATGGTTTATCACAATTTAAACTCTATCGTAATGCAAACGATGGGTCCCTCGTGTGTAGATCGTTCTCGATGAGCGGTACAC